TGAACTGAAAGAATCTACTACTTAGGGACAATGGGGCTTATTTACTATGGGGAACTTTGCTGTGGAGATGAATATTTTTACAACTGCCCTCATAAACCCCCTCCACTCGGCCGCTGCCCAGGGAGCGGGCAGGGCTCCAGAGGTGAGCCGAGGTGCCTGCACTGTCTCAGAAGCCCCATTAAGCTGTTAAGGCATTTAGTGTCCCAGACAGTGCTGACTGCAAGGGCAGTTCAAATCCCCACCCAGTTGGGGATGGGGTCTTGAAAGAGGGGGCTTTGATTCCCTCCCTGGGCAGGGCACAGAGTCCACCTTGGTCAGGGGCAAGAGTGGGTGGAGTGGCGTGGGGAGGGGGAAGTGGTAAACTAGCCAGACTGCGAGACCCCCACCCTCATCCCACCTCCTCCGCCATGTTCTCCCAAAGCCACTTTGTCATTCAGAGGGGAACAGTAAAAATGTGGGGCAGGAAGGACCTGTGGGAGGATTTTGTGCGCCTGTGTGTTGGTTTCCATGCCTGAAAGTTCTTGGCATCTGCATTTAAAAAAGAGAGAGAGCGCGAGGGTACATAACAGCTCCAAACCTGTCTCTGACACTTACGAACTATATGAACCTGGGCAAATTACTTACACTCTAAACATCTCACCTTCCTTGATTGTAAAATGGGGGTGAGGATATGGATGGTTTCTACCCTACAAAGTTGTGAGGATTCAATAAGATGATGCGTGTACTCAGCCCAGGGCCTGGTACCCAGGAAGTACTCAATCAGCACCAGCTGCTATGATTATTCAAATTTAGTCACAACTGGGCACTTTTGAGATTTCCTTGGGTCCTGCAGATTTCAGCATCAGGGAAAACCACAGCAACCACGTGGGTATCCTGGCCGAGAGCTGGGTTTGTCGAAGACCCAGGGTTAGATTTCTGCAGGCAAGTTAGGAGGAGATGTAAAAGGGGCAGAGTGGGAGGCAGGAGACAGGATTCTCAGGTTCTCAAGCTCCGATCTGACCATGGGGGCAGTCACATCCTCTGGGCTTGGAGAGAAAGGAATAGAATTTGAAGGGAGGGAGGAATAAGCAGCCAGAGAAATAAACGTCTCCTCTTGGGTAAAGAGGCTATGTGGCTCAGGGTATCCAAAGGTTATGCTGGGAGGGCTTGTTCTAGGATGCCCCTGTCCCTCACTTTCTTTCCAGGAGAATGAGCCTTCATCTCCTTCTCACAAGATGATACAAGAGGGAGGACGTGATGTGGGGGTGGGGTGAGTGAAAGCTGGTGAAGACCTCTGCCCTGCCCTTGCTGTCGCAAGGCAGCCAGGTGAGTTTGTCGGAGGTGGTTGGGTGAGTTCCCCACAGACTGGAGCAAAGGGTACCACACACAAGGCCACCACAGATGGTGCAGCTGATCCTAGGGCTCGGGCCAAGGCTAGCCCTGTTTCCAACCCACGCCAACTTCCTCCTCCTCCTCGGGCTGATCAATACAGGCACCAGTCTCCAACCAGCCCGCTTCCGTGCCACAGCCCTGCTCTCTGACCTTTTGGGGGCCTTTCTCTTGATTCCGCTCCAGAATGGAGGTCTGGGCCATCACTCCGGGCCAGCTCAATGGCCTCAGAATGGGCTGTCACAAGGCCTATAACCAGGGACAGCTCCTGCTGGCGAGAGCTGGGATGGGGGGGTGTGGATAAAGGCCTTCCCGGCTGAAGATAAATGGCTGTCCACAGCCTGCTACAGTAACTCCGGGCCCCCGAGAAGAGCAAACAAAGGCTGCCCCTGTGACACTCACTGGAAAGATGAAGGCCCGTCAGCGGCAGCCAGGCTGGTTCAAAGCCCCAACTTAATTGTCAATTAAGCATGCATGAGGGAGACAAAGCCATGACAACCCCGGGCTGCATGCTGGCGTGTGATTGTAAAGCCGGGAGGGGCAACGCTGAAAACAGCTGATTCTGCTGACAGTGTGTTTGGAGGGCACCTTGTAACCAATCAGCCGCTGACAGAGGCAAAGTGCTCCTCCTGCCACTCCTTTTGTGCCGGACATTCCAGGACCAGGGTCACACTGTGGTCACCGTGGGCAAGTGGGCCACAGCGCCGTAAGTGTGGCGGGGAGGGAAGGGGCTCAGGTACAGAAGGGATGCTCTCCTGTCCAGGAAGAGGGGTTGAGGGAAAGATGTGTCCCGAAGGTGCCTCCAGTCCTCCTGGATGCGAGGCTGGTGTTTGGAGGGGAAAGTGAGGAGAGAGTGGGGGTTTGGGGGCTGGGGACCTCATCTCCCCAGCTTGGCCTCAGAGGTTGCTGGTAACCTGGAGCTTGGTCAGAGACCAGAGCCGGGTTGTGGGGACCGTGATGGGAAGTATACAGTGAGAAGTGCAGGCTGAAGTCTTTCCTAAGATCTGGGCTTTAAGCCTGCTGTCTGCCCGGCCCCAGGGGCCTCCCCAGGAGCCCGTGCTGCCCGCCCCGGCAGCCTGAAAGGGGAATACGGCCTGGTGCTCGCATCCTGCACCCCAGTCCCAAGGTCAGAACATCTCCCTGCCTCTTAGGAAGACAAGTAGTTATGGTTTCTTGAGAAAGACAGTGTTTACACCCTCTCTCATTTAGTCCTCATAGGGGCCTGATGAGGTGGGTACTATTTCTCCATTTTACAGACAGGAAACTCCTCAGAGAAGTTATCTGAATTGTCCACAGTGCAGTCCTGGGAATTAACCTGGCCGGTTAGAACCAGGATAAGAAAAAAAAAAATGACACAAATGAACTTATTTACAAAACAGAAAGAGACTCACAGACATAGGAAACAAACTTTTGGTTTACCAAAGGGGAAAGAGGCGGGGAGATAAATTAGGAACTTGGGATTAGCAGATACAAATTACTGTGTATAAAATAGATAAATAATAAAATCCTACTGTACAGCACAGGGACCCACATTCAATATCTTGTAATAACCTATAACGAAAAAATATGAAATAGAATCTATGTATGTATAACCGAATCACTATACTGTACACCAGAAACTCGTTAGTGTTCAATATTGTGTTCAACATTGTAAATCAACTACACTTCAATTGAAAAACAACAAAAACAACTAAATCTAGATAATTGTCCTTGGGCGTGGACAAAGACTATCTTGATGAACGCTGAGTGAAAATTAAGGGGGAGGGGAAGGTAGCCACTGAACATATACAGTGTGCCATATTATTGCTCCACAATAATTTGTATTCTACAGCAGTTTCTCTGCGGAAAGACACACAAAAGCCCCAAAGATAACCCTGATCCCCAGCTGGTTCTGGGGACTCCATGCCAGCACGACATCTTCCCAACTAGACAGCAAGCCCCTGAGGGCAGGGATGTGTGTCTCCATCACTAGCGAGGTGCCAGGACTCAACACGTGTCTGAGCCGAGGCCAGTCCAGGTTGGGAACTGGCGGCCTGGCTTCTGGTCCTTATTCTGCTCCCATTGCTCTGGGTTAACTCAGAAAGTACTATCTCTTTCTGGGCCTCAGTTTTTCTTTGAAGTCCCTCCCAGTTCTAATACTTTATGATTTTTTCAAAAAGGTCGCGCTTCCCAGGGTCCCTAGAAAACCCACTGCCAGTGGGACATGCCTTCTCAGACTGATTGGAGGGGACTCTGGGCTGCGTTTCCCGCCCCCCACCGCCCAGTGCCCAGTACCTGTCCCTGTCCCTCCAGCCCCGCCTCTCTGGCTCTCCTGTCACTATGCAGAACGCCTAAGCCAACGACCCCGTGGTGACCTCACCACAACCCCAGCTTGTCAGAAAGCTGCTGGGCCTTTGTTTGGCCTGCAGGCTCCCTGACTTTGGTGTGGAGATCACAGGTCCCAGCACAATAGCCATTGTCTTCTCCATAACGCCCCTTGCCCCAGCCACGCCCCCAGGAGCTCCCAGATCCAGCTCCGCGGATTCCTTCAGGCAGGCGGCAAGCACCCCTGCCTTTCCCAGCGTCAGCCACTGCTTTGAATTTCTGCGAAGGGGCTACGTTTCTTGGCCATCAGGCCAGTGTTTTCATCTGGAGGCTCCTCCGCCTCTCAAGAGTAACCCAAACTTTCTCTCCTGTGGCTAAGCCCTTCTCTTCGGTGGGAGTAGGACACAGAAAAGCTCCCGTCCCTGGCCTAGGTTTCATGCTGAACAGTCTCGGGCTCCCAGAGACACTTGAAGAGGTCCTGCTAGGGGAGGAGGGCATGGCCTGGAACAAATGCTTGGAGACTGCCCAGCTGGTGGCTCTGAGCCTGTCCCCAAGACACAGGTCAGCTCCTAGATCGCAGGCCTCTCCCATCACAAGGGCAACCAGCAGGTAAGGGGGAAAGCAGTTTCAGAACCATCCCCCACCAAGTTAGAAATGGTGCCTGCTCTCCTTCTGCAAGCCCTTCCCCAGAGCTGGCAGGAGACCACGTCACACTTTGTCTACACAGACAGCAAACCAACCTCAGGAAGCACATCCATTCCGGGAAGCCGGCTCTCTTGAAGAACTAAGCCCCGGGGGAAGACTGACACAGCCTTCAGCATATGGGGCTGCTTTCTCACCAGGAAGGCATAGGATCCCATCCTGACAAGCCCATATCCCACAGCAGCACACAGTAGGTACTCAACCAATTCGGGCCAACTCACCACTACAAAAATCTCAAGTGACAGACCCCAACCCCCACCCCTCAATTCTGGCGGAGCACAGACACCAACAAACAGAGGCCCAGGGCTCCTCCTGCTGCAATGGGCCAGAGCCCTGAGGAGGCACACGGATGGCATGGAGGGTCTGCCTGCAGTGTAGAGACGGCATACCAAACAGGCAGCCTTCTCCGTCTCATCTGGTGGCGGCTCTGAGCCACTGAGTCAGCAACCACACAGGCAGAGAGCGGAGACGAGGGAAGGATGGGGCGAAGGGCTCCCTGGCCACAGCCGCATGCTGTTTTCACGAGACTATTCCAGCAACAGGAGGGGCGGCCAGCCCTAGGCCCACGTTCAAAGCGTTTCGTCCACTGAGAAATCTTGAGACCCGCGGGGAGGGGCCCTGCTTACCTGACAGCTTGTTTGGAGGCGAGGCGCTGGGCTGGTGGTGGGGGGAGCCATGGGCGAGCAGGGTGTTGAGGCTGTGCGTCTGGTTGGAGCTGTAGGCGTCCATGGCCAGCTTCTGCCGGAACGCCTCCTCCTTCCTGCGGTTTGCAAACCAGTTGTAGACGCGGACCTCGGTGACCAGGTTGGAGCCCAGGCCGTGGGCTTTGGAGGGGGAGACGCCTCGCTGCAAACATTCTGCCCTGAGGATGGATGGAGGGGAGACAGTGAATGAGGGCGAGGGTCAGGGGTGCTGCTGCTGGCGTTTGGCCTCAGACACTCAATCCCAGGGGCCTAGGGGAGGAGGGTGAAGAGGTGGAGGGTGGATGGGAGCCTGGGGAAAAGTCCCATCCTGAGAAAAGGCCAGCTGGCGTGGTTATCTGATGAGATGGCTGGAGTCGGGTGGAACACAGGTGCAGAGCAGGCTCCACTGCCCCGGAAGTCAGGGGCTTAGCCTCTGGGGGGCCCTTGACAAGAAGAGGGGAAGCCAAGGGGCAGGCAGCTCAGGGGGACAGTCCCAGTGGGCCTCCTGACACCTCCTCATGTGGCTTTTCTTCCCAGCCTACAAAAGGCAAGCCCCTTGGCTGGCTCTGCTAAACCCCTGAAAGCACCCTGAAAGGACTTCTGGTCTTCCAGGGTTTGACACCCTACAAGGGTACCAGGGAAGCCAGATCCCTTATTCACACAGCAGAAATCCCTCCGAGGGGCAGGCTGGGCGACCTGTAGAGGAGGCTAGTCTCTGGGTTTATCGTCACTGATGAAACCCCGATGCCAGATGTGAGAGAGAGACTCTGACCCCCCTCTCACTGGCAGGGGGACGGAGCAAAGCACAGGACTCTGTGACACATACAGGCAGAGCGTTCTGCCTCCCCACACCCGAGCCAGACCTTCCTGGCTGTATCCTCCCACTGCCAGACCTGGTCCAGCCCAGAGACAGAGAGAGAGCACAGGTCTAAACCGGAGCAAAGAGCAGATTTTTTTCAGAAAGTCAATGTTAGAGTCAGGGCGGGAGGGGACAGGAATGAAGCAAAAAGATATCTCAAGGATGTCTAATAGTTTTCTTTAAAATTCCACATCATTAAGATACCAAAAGAAGGCTAATCGGTGTGGGCAGAGCGGACGGAAGATCTGGCCAGTTCCTGTTCCCCTGCTAACTTTCCTTCTGAACCGGTGGGTAGACAACATTTGGTCAAGGCCAAAGCCAGTCTGTGGCTGAGGGACAGAATTTCCCTGATCTATAGGGAGGTCAAACACATGATTCTCAGTTCATTGGCATCGTATTTTAGACCAACAATCTCCAGCATTCCCGGGGGTAACAGTTCATAGGGGTATGCCGCAGAAAAACATCCCGCGGTTAACAACCAACTCAACAACGTGGAGTTTCTTGACTGCAGGACTTCTCAGAGCCTTTAACATATTAATGTCTGTCGTGACACCCTCAGAGGAAGTAGGCACATGATGTTTCTCAAGCTGATTTCTTAATGACTAGAAATGAGGGTTCCGTGGAACACGCCTTGGGAAACCCTGCTGTAGCCACACTTATCTGGATAACTAGCATCTCAATTTTCCAGGACTGAGGGGATGGAGCTCGGTCCGGGTGCTGGCCCGCCTGCTCGAGGGAGCTTCTGGTGGTGTTACCTGTTGCACTCCTCCACTAAGGCCTCCCTCTCTTCCTTGCTGGGGTTCTTTTGCCGGTCGTAGGCCTGGTACAAGATTTGCTGGGATGCGGGCCCCCATTTGAACCGGTTGCGACGCATCTTCTTGTTGGTGGGCTCAGAGCAGACGTCATCGGACTGCCCAGGCCCCTGGCTCTGTTGACTGAACTCTGGAAAGAGAAACAGCAGCTGATCCTGACTGCTTTTGTCTGTCAAATTTCCAGAACTCTGGACTGTCTGGTTGAATTCTGAAAAGAGAAAGGAGTAGATTTGATAGAGTCTGGAGGCTTCACTCAGCAGACAGACAGATAGACAGACGGACAAAAACAGCTTTATTCCTCTCCCCTAAGTGGTGGGATCTGCCATTACTGCAGTAGGGGGTTGGCGGGGTGGGCCCACCTCAGTTTGTTCCACCAAAGCCACCCCTTTCCTTTCTTTGGAGGAGCTCAAACGTGGCCAGCCATTGTTTTCAGGACAATTTATGATTATTATTTTTTCATTGGCTCACTGGTGCTCAGACGTGAAGCAACATTCTGAATCCCAAAGTCTGGGGTTTTGACAGCAAGGAGACGCGTTCAACCAAGTCTCAGGTCTAAGGGGGAAAAGGCTCAAAGGTACAACTGGCACTTAGACAACATGTTCAGAGACTGAAAAGAGCCCTCTCCACCCCTCCACACTCTCCTCCTAGGTACCAAGGATTAACATTATAATGTTATGCTCAGAGCAGAACTCCAAACCCAAAACCTTTTGACTACTGCTTTGAAAGAAATATAATTAAACTTTTGTATTAGAAAAAGAATAAGCTCGTTAGACCTCGGATAATTCCAAAGGCAGTGTGTGTGTGTGTGTGTGTGTGTGTGTGTGTGTGTGTGTGTGTGTCTGGGGTCATTTATGATGGAAACAGCCCAAAAGGGAAAGGTCTTACAGCCCTACCCGCCCATTTAAAAGATGACAAACGCAGAAGACAACAGGCAAACTCAGGACCTTGCTAGGAGTGGTGTTTATGAGTTGGAGAAAGTAAATGAGATGGCATTTGCTCCCTGTGTGTCCAATTCCCAGGACCCAGGCACACTGTGACCCTCGATATATCCTGGTTGAATGAATGAAAGACAGCAGCTCGCCCCTGGCCTCTGGCTGCAACGAGATTTGATATTTGCTTATGGCAGAAGCAGCCTCGCTGTCCTCTTCCTCGCATCTGCATGAAGCAGGGTTCATCGGGATGGTTAATTCCGTGTTACAGATGAACAAGCAAGGAGGCCGAGCACCCGGCTGAGCAAGGACACATAACAGATTCATTTCCTAACTCCTGGGCCCCGTGTTCTGGACCTTGATGTTTTTCTTTCTCAGTTCCTGGAGTTACTCCTGCAGGTCTTGGAAAATCCTCAAGGTCCAAAGTCAGGCCACTACTTGGTGCCTGAATCCCCTCCACAACGCTACCGCGTGGCCTTCCGGCCCCTCTGCCTCCAGCCATGGGGCACTGACTACCATCTAATGGTCCATTTCCATTTTGGCCCGTCACAAGGAGCAGAGGGCCCCTGACCAGCCTGGACTTAGGACCCCAGCTGCTGCTGGTGCTCGGCTTTGTTTAGCCAGTTGCTGACCGGCCAAGTTCACGAGCCAGCTCCCGAGTCGGTGGACTGAATGTGTCAGTGGGGCGTTTAATTTGGGCCCCACCCACTTTGGGTGATTCTTAGGCCACTTAGGGCTCTGTTCTCACTGGTTCCCAACAATTCCTTTAGATACCGGTGGGGGTCTCTGCCAAGTTTACTGGCAGGAAGTCACTGACTCAATGAGATAATGTGGGGTCTCAGCCAAGATACTTAATTCCTGGTCCCTTGGCTTCTCCGCCTGTGGAATGGAACTGGGTGAAACACTAAGCGCATTGAGGAGTCTTTTAGAACATCTGCCCCAAGTCAGGAAGATGATGATGTCGGCGATCACCCAAATTCCTATGCAGGTTACACTTGTCAGAGTGCTTTCACACTGCCTGTATTATTTGGTCTTCACAGCAGCCATCTAAATGCAGTGACTTTAGGGACAATCAGAGGGGGAGAAGGAAGTCCCCTGCTCAGTGGGTGTCTGTCTCAGTGTCTCCTCTCCTCCCTGTGGCTCTGTGGCGTTATCCTGAGTGACAGCCAAAATCTGAGGTTCTTCATTTAATGTGAACAAACGTCTTCACAGTGAACATTTATTGGACCATTTCTATGGTGAGGTGTCGTACAAAGTCCTCCAAATGTATCCCTTCATTTAATTCTCACAACCTCACTGGGTGAGAAGTATTGTTATCTCCATTCTACAGACGGTGAAACTGAGGTTCAGACTGGTTGAAGTCACATGGACTTGGGGCAGGAGCCACGATATAAACCCAGCCTGTGGACACTAAACTCATAACCAGTAACCAGTTAGCTAAAAACAAAACCCAAACAACCCGCCCACAAAATCTTCAAATCGGACTGAGGGGGAGGTAATGGAAGTGACCCCTGACGTTTGTTTGTGGTGGGTGTGACGCACACTCACAGCTGCCCAAACGTGGGGGGCTGCCTCTGGCTGCCCCCTGAGGAAGCAGCAGCCTGCTTGGCGTCCAGAACCCAGCACATTCCCGGATTAGCCAGGCTGACTTGCCGGCAGGTTCTCAGAGTCATCTAAGCTCTACTACCTCAAGACCCCAGCAGCTCAATTTTTGAAGGACTAGGCTCCCACACGTCCTCTACCCACCACCAACTCTACTCCATTTCCTTCTAGATTACTGTAAGGGCGGGGTGGGGGCACACAGAAAATGTTCATTGTCCGTAAAAATTAACTCAGAGAAGTTGGCTTCAGCAAATTCTTTACAGGCTCAGGAGCCAGCCTGGACAAGGAGAGTCTATCTGTGTAGACGGGCACGTGATTATTACCATTTATTATTTCTAGTTTCTCAAGAAAATTTGTTGTCATGTGTCATCTTTTTTTATTCTCTCTGCTCTTTCCCCTGCCAACCACCACATTCATTTGTGTCCCTTTTTCAATTCATCTCACTTTCTAATTTTTATCCCATGCTTTCCTGTCTTGTAGTCATCCTTCAAGAATTGGTTCATTGTGCTGTACACCAGAAATTAACACATTGTAATTGACTGTACTCCAATTTAAAAAAAAAAGAGCATGCATAAGAATAAGCAAAAAAAAAAATTGGTTCAAATGTCACCTCCTCTAGGAAGCCCCCTGTGATGTCTCTAGGCAATTTAGCAATTCCTCTGCTGCCCCTTGTGTATATATTTATAACAACTCTTAGAAAGCAGCTGTCATTATTTACTCAAACATCTCATCTCCCTCATTAGGTTGTATGTCCCTGGAGAAAAGAACCTGTGTATCTCACAGCCCAGCAAGTGCCTGGAACCTCATAGATGTTTGTATAATATTTACAGAATGAAGGGATGCCTCTGAAGCTTTGTGTCTCATGGGACTTTTAAACGATGATAACAATAATTTAAAAATCCCTTGCAGAAACTGTCATACATTTTTGTAAAATGACCCTTCCCAAGCATCTTGAGAAACTTTCTGGGACTTCTGTCTTTTTAGAGGCTTCCAACTGGCCTTTCCTGCCACTCTCTCCTTTTCTGAGGGAAAGCCCATGGAACACAGAGAAGCAGCTCAAACTGGAGATGCTTCATGAGGCTTGGGTTGGAGTGAGGGTGGGTCCCAAGGGTTCTCTGGCCTTTGGAGACAATGGCTCCTGAAATGTTTCTTGGGCTTTCCAGGAATTACAGGGAGTTGCTTCATGTCAGACACACAAATTCTTAAAGACCTAGTCATGGATGGTGGATCAACCCAGAGTTTAAAACGGGCTTGTTCCCCTCAACAGCAAAGATCTCTCATTTTCCTTCTTCTAAACCTACCCATCTAATGCTTCCAACAAAAGAACAATCACCACAATACGAGATGAATGCCTCAACTCTTTCCTTCCACCTTGAAGGTCCTTCCAGCCCACAGACATTGAGACAATAAACACTGAAACAATCACTTCAGGGCAGTGTGTGACAGAAAACAAGAGTGACTTTCAAAAGTGGCCATCCGGTGAGAGGGGAAAAAAGCCCAACCCAGAAAGTGGTGGAAACTCATATCTTGACAAGGACAGGGAAGCCACAGCCCAGAGGATAGCATGAGGGAATGGCAAAAACTCATACAAAATTTTCCTAGGAAAAGGGCTGGATTGAAATAATTCAAGTATAATGTAACAGTATACTTTCCTAAAATTAAAAAAAAAAGTAGGTCACTGATACTCTTGTCATTTAAATGCAGCTCAAACTTCCCTAGACTTTAAAACAAAAATCTCTCAATGTTATTGAATAGAAGACATCTTGGGACAGAAAGGAAATTTGGGGACGAGGAAGAGAATGACAAGAATCAATGGGTCGGAGCTGCAAATGCAGACACTTCTCCTGTGTCCTGCCTTAGCCAGTAGCAGCTTCTTCCTTCCACAGGCTCACCAACTGAGGCCTCAAAACTCTACCGATTTTGGTAAATGCGACTAAGCATCTCAAATTGCTTTAGAACTCAGATGTACCCTCCACTCCCCTCAGATCACAGGGTCAGGTACCGAATGTAGCTATATACACAAAGGCTTCCAATTTTTTATACTTTTTTCAGAGGGAAGGAAAAAAATAATCGTGATCAATATTACTGATTGCTATTAAATGTCTTCCTTGGAAACTCTGATCTGTGGTCATGTACCAAGTGGAGCTGCTTGGCTAACTTTGGGGGTGATATTCCACTGTTACCTACTTGATTTTAAAGAGAAAGATGCTGGAAGCAGGGACCGAAAAATTCAAAGTGCGCTGCACACACTGAAGGGCTCGTCAGAGCAACTGGCTGGGTGCTAAGAGACCGTGGGAGAAGAAAATGATAGAAGCCAACCTACTGTACAGCACCTCTGAAGGCCAAATCCACTTGCCAGCTCCCTTACACCTGCCAAATGCTATGCAGACCTTGGTGATGAAGAGGAAACTGAGGCATCCCACAGGGGTCAGGGTTGGGGCAAAGGTCACTTCGGGTTGAGGCAGAGGCAGGATTAAAGCACTTACGTCGGAGGATCTCCCGTTGCTTTCGGACGTACCAGGTGTACAGGGCAGCCCGCTTCTGGGTTTTCATCGGGGTGCCCTTGTTGAGATGCTGGGAGAGGTGTGACTGGTTCAGACCGGTGACATCGACCACCTCCCTCTGGGGGATGTTATGTTGCTGCATGTAGCCCTTGATCATTTTGGCAGCCCTCCAAGGGTCCTCGCTAGACAGATAAGCAGATGGTTAGGATGCTGGTGGAAGATGTCTGGGGAGAAATATTCTCTTTCTAGAGGTTTGACTTGGACTCCCTGCAAAACTCTGACCTCTACCTATTTCTCCTCCTGTCCAAGTTACATTCTTGGCAGAGATGCGAGGCTAAACTAAAACCTAAACATAAGAAGAGATGAAAGCTCCTATAGAGAACATGCCATCTCTTTCATCTGAGATTAGGAGGACAAAGAGGAAGATGACTTCCCAACTTCAGGAATGGGAAAGTATTACCAGCATTCTCTCTGGCAAAACAGAAGGAGAAGTTTCATTTAATTTTGCTTTCCTCTACTTTCCTGGAATGTGAGAGACTTAAATAGCAAGAGGCCCACTGGATAGTGGAGATGCCATGAGCTTAGGGCTGGGCTGGCTGATCCTACAATGATAGGGGGCAGCATTCGTTTCTAAATCCACCTGGACCGCTCCCACATTATTCTCCTTCTGAGTGAGTGTCTCAGTTTCTTGTCTTATAAAATAGGAGTAAAACATTGGTGTCCACCTTCTGAGAAACAAGGAGGATGTCTCAGCCAAATGTTAAACAGTTTTTAGAGTCCTAGAAAAGTTTTAATAAATACAATGGCATTCCTTCCCGGGGCTGAAGAATTCCTGCCCCTGAGGTGAGGCAAGTAAAGTGAAAAAAAAAAAAAAAACTTCACAGCCCTGCTTTCCAAATAAGAGCAACCGGAAGAGAAATAATTTCGGTTTCTGGCTAACATATTAACGATCTCAAATGCCGTGTTTTCCTGTATTCTTACATTTCTCCTCCGATAGGGTAAGCGTATCTGGAAGTTAATCTTTCTCATAAGTGTCAAGCTTGGAATAAGGACTTGCTTATAACTTTCCATTTCTCATAGACACAGGTCGTGCAAAAAGCTTCTTTAGAACAACGTATTAGTGTCTTTGGATTTATTCAAGATGTTTTCAACTTTGCCAATCTGTTTTCTTGCTTATTGCATAGGTGGCTTAAAAGTGAGAGATATAATTGAAAACAAAAATTAAGAAAACAGCGCACAGTATAGAACAAACGTAGGCAAGAGGCAAGACATCCACATAAACTATTTGTTTAATGCAGCTACATATTTAACTTAAACCCAGCACGTCTTTACTGTATGTTGATGTACATGATAGACTAATAGAACATGAAAAAAAGATGGGAAAAATTAGTTTCAGAGGTAACAATAAAAACTGCTGTAAAGCAGAGGCCAAAACAGATACAGTGTTGCAAATGAAATAACTGATTTATTTCTAAATGATGTTTATGTCAAATAAAATTAATTTTGTTTAATGAGTTTTTAAAAATCTAGTAATTAAACTGAGATTTTCATAGGCATTTGAAAAATTGTGATCAGTTTAGCAAGTCTTTGATATCAAGTCTGTGAAAACACAGGCTTGAGTAGAGATGTTTTTGAGAAATGCAAACTTCTCAGAGTAACTATATACAGCTTAACACACTTCTCAAGTATGTAGAAAGGTACTTTCAAGTAATACCACGTAATCAAGTAACAACAGGAACAAAAAATAAGGAACTGCGTCTCAGTTTCAAACCTGGAGAATTCGCCTTGAGTAAGAAAATAATGTAATATTTTGAACCTACCCAGGTAAACACCAACGCTCATTTAAAAGCTTATTTCTGGCACATATTTCCACAGATATTTCTAGGGTGGAAAAACACTTTCAAAGGATACGAACAATAGCTTCGAAAGTTAGAAAAAGTGGATTTTAAAAGTTAATACTGCTTCAACAGATTCTTTGACTTGGGGGGTTTTGTTTAAATTTCTTGTGTCCGTTTCGTGTGTCTAAGAAACCTAACGTAATAGTGTAATGTTCTAAAAGCGAATGAGTTCGTGGAAAGAGTGAATTAGCTTAACAACTGGGAAGGTTTAGAAAAAGAAAAAAAAACAGCCAGGAAACCCTTACACACGATAGCCAACCTTTCAGCCCGCATCAAAGGACTAGAGTCGGGAGTAAGATGGCGCAGTTACACCTTTACAGCTCTGACCACATAATTCTCTTGTCCTCACCGGGTAGAGCCCAGAGGGCGGATTATGTGTCTGAATTTGAAAATGCAGCCCGTGATCAGGGGTTCCCAACCCGGATAAGCACAGATCCGGAGAGGCGCGCGCGGGCATTGTGCTCAGGGCGCAGGTGTCAAACGTCCGAGCTCGGCGTCCGCCTTGCCAGTCCAGCGCGATCCTTCCCAAACAATGCCTTGGCCGCCCACGAGCGGAGAAGCCCCGGACCCCAGCACAGACTGCCGCGCTTCTTCGTTAAGAAGCCTCATCCCCGGCTTCTTGAGGAGCAACCGATTTTCCCGAACGCCACCGGACGCCAGCCGCCGGGGACCTTCCTTTCTCGCCTCCCTCTTCCAGGAGATGGAAAGAGCGGACAGGCGCTTCCCAGAGTGACTTGTCTTGTTCTTCTCTTTCCACCTTAGGGGAGCAGGGTGGGCCAAAAAGGGAGTGCGTGCGTCTGGCGCACAGGAGCCGACTGTGCCGTGACCTGGGGGCCGCTAGCGATTTCTTGAAAAATGACTTTAATCAAGTCCGACCCCTCCCGGTGGTGGGGGAGGGAAGGCTGCATCCGCTAGGGAAAGGGAGAGGAACCTTGGGGTCTTTCCTGCGTCCCCCGCCCCCAGCGGGGGTCTTGGGCCCCCTGGCTTCGCTCCCCGCCCCCTGGAG